TGCTTGTGAGGATGGAGGCTGGTGGTTTCCAGGAGCTGATCCACACTAGCCCCAGACAAAAATGCCTAGGTGATGGGGGACGTTAGCACTAGAAAGTTAGGAAAAACGGACCCAATGACAATAGGGTTTTTTGGCAACTGCATCACATTCTTGACTCATATTCAATTTCTCATCCACTGTAGCTCCTGATCCTTTCCAGCCGTACGCCCACCTCGCCACTTCTACCCCAGTCTGTGGCCGGGCCTTTGGTTTCTCCTTCCTAAGTGCGGCACTTGGCCCTCGTCTTTATGGAATTTTATCTCGTTCATTTCAGACCAATTCTCCAATGTGTCAAGATCACCTTGAATTCAAACCCTGCCCTCCAGATAGCTAAGCAGAAACCAGCCGCCATTCACAGCTGGAATGGCCTAGCAAGGCAGCGTGAGGATGGGTGTGGTATAAACACCTAGCTAACTAGTTAGATCTATCTATGGACTATGCTCCGTCCAGGTATCCAACCATGTCCCCTCTCAACAATCCCTGTTTCCGGATACCCCTAAAAGTTCTGTCTCCAGCTCTATATGCTTTCTCTCTGTCTCATTATAGGTGAGGGTGGTAGAGATGCCACCAGCCAAGGCTGACCGACACGTTCTATTTTAAGACCTTGTTTTCAGTTGCCTATAACTTTGCCAAACTGTAGCCGCTGGGGCTGAAATTTCCCAGGACAGGTGTCTGCCTCCAGACGAAGATTTGGGGAAAGTTTCTCTAAAATGGGTCAATGGTTGCTGGGCTCTTCACCTCACAGATCTGCCCCCTGTTATCCCAGCCCTGGGTCCCTGCTCCCTACAGCCTCTCACTCCTGACCCGCAGTCCACTGCTATCCCAGCCCTCGGCTCCCCCCTTCCCCACCACAGCTCTGCTGCTGCAATTCACCCTGGGGAACAGACTCGAGCGCAGACCCGTTTGTCTCTGATGGTTTCCCTCTGCCTCCCTCGCTCTCTGCGTCTCTCTGCCCAGAGTGACGGGCTGGCTGCTCCCACCTCAGTTTTTATTTCAGTCTCTGCCTTTGGTCACTGGATGCCCTGGACGTGGCTGAGGAATCTTGGCTCCTCTCCCTAGAAATATTTGTAGAGGGGACAGTTGGCACAAGGGTGGAGCCCTGGGCAGGTTCCCGGGACCCTTGGATGGGGTCTGGGCCCTCAGCATTGGGGTATCGGGGTTGAACTAGGAAAGGGAGAAATGGTGACACCCCCAAAACTCCTCCCACAGCTGGACCCCCCTGCACTTGAGACCCCAAAACAAGGGGCTTCTCACAACACCTTGCACCCGTCCTCCCTGCCCAGCTCCAAGCTCAGACTAGCTGCAAGACAGCCAGTGAGGGGGCAGGGCAGAAATTTCCCATCTAAGCAATTTGTGGACTGGAAACTGGGTTTTTTTTCCTTTTCCATGCTGGAAAGAGCTGAACCTTCGCTGAGGGTTTTTGTTTCAGTTCGAGAAATGCCTCGTTTCGGAGAAGAGGAAGCAGCTGCGGTGTTATCACCATACAGCGAACAGGCGTTGGCCAAACTGTTCAGTCCTGGGGCGCTCACAACGCCCGGCACTTCCAGTGCCCTTTCAAGCGGGTGCATTTCCGGACCCTGCTGTGCCGGTGGCAGGATCGCCCCCTCTGGTCTGTTCCCTGTGGCTGGGCATCGCGCTGGATCGCTTGGTCCCTCCTACCATGCGCTG